CATTCTCTGTTGGCATGGTGAGTAGATACATGGAAAGGCCCACAACGGAGCACATGGCTGCAGTGAAGCACATATTACGGTACGTGAAAGGAACTTTAAACCTTGGTTGTGTTTATGAGAAGAAGAAAGGAAGCTTGGAACTGATCGGTTATTCAGATAGTGATCTAGCTGGTGATACTAATGATAGGAAAAGTACCTCAGGTTTAATATTTTTCCTTGGGTCAAGTCCTATTAGTTGGTGTTCACAAAAACAGAAAGTGGTTGCGTTATCTTCCTGTGAAGCAGAGTACATCGCTGCATGTGCAGCAGCGTGTCAAGGAGTGTGGCTGGGACGACTATTGGCAGATTTGTTAAAAACTGAAATTAAGAAAATAGTTCTGAAGATTGATAATCAGTCTGCAATTGCATTAAGCAATAATTCAGTTTAGCAATAATTCAGTTTACCTTGGTTGTGTTTATGAGGTTCGGTTTTGTTCGAAGGCTTCGCAGGTTCGGTTTTGTTTGAAGGCCCAATTACCCCTGCTACTCACAGAGGGAAGCGATATTTCTTGTTGTTGGTTGACGATTGTACCAGATTTATGTGGCAGGTGTCGATCCGAGACAAAAATGAAGCATTTGAGGTATTTAAGAAGGTCAAAGCTGCAGCCGAAATAGAGAAAAACAGTAAGTTGAAAGCTTTGTGCACGGATCGTGGCGGTGAATTCATCTCAAATGAGTTCAAGTGTTACTGTAAGCTGTTGGGAATTAAGCGTTATCTCACGGCGCCTTATTCTCCTCAGCAGAACGGAGTTGTCGAACGACGAAATCAGACGGTGGTCGGCATGGCAAGGAGCTTGTTGAAAAGTATGGAAGTCCCGGGCGAATTTTGGGGAGAAGCGGTATCAACTGCCGTATATATCTTAAATAGAGCACCAACAAAGAGCGTCATCGGCAAAACACCCTATGAAGCATATTATGACCGCAAGCCAAGTGTCGATCATTTTCGTATTTTCGGATGTCTTGCACATGTAAAAGTAGTTACACCACATCTTCCGAAGTTGGTTGATCGTAACAAGCAAATGGTGTTCATTGGTTATGATATGAACATGAAAGGCTATCGAATGTTTGATCCAGCGACAAGA